TAACTAGTTTGGGTTACACAAAGTATTCAATAGCTACAGTCACTCTAGTTACCTATTATCTTTAAAGAAGTGAATATAGGATAACAATATATATAATATATATGAGATTCTATGTTAATAAGCATGAAATCATGAGAAAAAAGAAATAAAAAGAAGAAAAATTAGTAATATCAAATGCTTTGGAAAAGAAAAAGGAAATTCAATAAAATATTCCTGCTTCATAGCCTCAAAGTTTCTAATAACAATGAATTATCTACAATTCAACAATTAGATGTGATGAAATCTTTGTAAAAATATAAAAGAAGCATTTTATCAAATTAAGAACAACTTGCCTTCGGGTTAAATAGTTTAAAGTTCTATTTTTGTTTAATTCTTCAATAATAAAGTTCTCCATAATATTCTATAATAATTTATTTTTAAACTTTAAACAATATTAAAAAAAATGAGACTATCCAAATGAGTTCAATCTTTAAAAAAGCTAGAAAGAAAAAAGCGCAAAATGCAAAGAGTGAATATTATATATTTCAATCATACATTTCATATAATGTATAAACTAATCTTACTTTGATATATTCGTTATAAATAATGAATTGTTTAGTAATAAATTCTCAGAATGTGAATCTTTAGCAGTGAACTTTCAGGTACTAAACTTTCAGGCACTGAATCTTCAGATAGTGAATCTTCAAGTCAATCTTCTAGTGAAGAAAATAATTGGGTAGACGAACTATTTGAACCCAAGTTAAACATGTATACTTTAATGCTTGATGCTGCATATAAACCTGATGCATTTAAAAAAACTTTCCGAAATGGATTTTATATTGGAAATGCAAAATCATCTATGTGAAATAAAAGGCAAAGTTGAAAATTAGCTGCACAAGGATCTCAAAAAAATTACTGATTTTTTTAGCACTAATAACAATAGCGAAAGTAGTGAAGTATTTGAAACATTGGATTTAAATGCTGATAATAATTATTCATTACATTTTTGTTGTTATTACTATTTAATGTTTAATTAACTATAAACATTATAGATTCTTCTGAAGAAGAAACTTCTGAATATACACTATCTAAATTAGAATAACAAATAAAAAATAGGCACAAGATCTTAGGCCCACTATACTGTACATACCTTTGGCTTAAAGAATCAGGACTTACTAGAATGCAAGCAGTAATACAATTTTAACTTTACTTAACTATAGATCTTGAACTGCATGCTTAATAAGAACTTGGGGTAACTAATACACAAAAACTGGTACAATCCAAGCTTCAAAATGAAAAAAACATCAAAAAATTCAGTCACTTTTACTTGATGAAGATATTTAAAATAAACTTCTTGAATATTTAAGTTTTCATAAGTTTAAATTAAGCATTCATAATCTTTGTGACTATGTTTGTAATGAAATATTTTCTAGCATTGGAATTGAAACAGGAAAAACTATTAGTAATAAAACAGCACAATGATAGTTAAAACATTTAGGATGAGAATTTAAATTGTATCAAAAAGACATATATGTTGATAGCCATAAATAATCAGATGTTGTAGAATATTGTTATAGTTTTCTAGATTATATGATGCAGAATGAATTATTAATGCTATATTGGTCTAATGATTTAATATAACAAATCAATCCAGTTCTTTCTGTTAGAGAAAGGTTACATATATTAGTAATACATGATAAATTAGTATTTTATACAAATGTTGGTCAAAAGGCATTTTGGGCACCTATTGGTGAATAACTGTTATATCCAAAATCAGCTGGAGCAGTATTATGGTCAGTGAGATTCTTTGTAATATAATTGGCCAGCTTCGATTAGATTATATTCACCAGCAACAAAATAACAGTCTTCCATTTAAAGAGCAAATTCTTACTAAAGCTTGTTGTATTATTCACACTAGTAATAATCATAATGGTTATTAGACAATTAATGATATGGCATAGCAATTAAAAAACAAAGCAATTCTAATATTTGAAGCAATGCATCCCAGTTGTATAGCCATTTTGCTTTTGATAATAGCAGTAACCATGCTGTATTTGTTAATGATACTTTAGTAGTATTACAAATGAATTTCAAATCTGGTGTTCAACAACCTCAAATAAGAAATACTTATATACAGGATGGCACTTTACAAAAAATGAATTATCCTGATGGCACACCAAAAGGAATGTATCAAGTTCTTGAAGAAAGAGGTTTAACCCACTCTAAGTTAAAAAAAATTTGCTCAAATTGTAAAAAAAGAGCTTCTCAGGAACGTGATTGTTGCACTACACGAATTTTAAGTCTAAAACCAGATTTTGCTAACCAAAAATCACTTCTTGAAGAAATTGTCAAAGAGGCAGGTCATAAAATTATTTTTTTCCCAAATTCCACTGTGAATTGAATTACATTGAGAGTTATTGGAGTGTGGTAAAAGTTTATATACATGCCAACTGTGATTATAGCTTTAAATCTTTAAAGAATATTGTTCCAATAGCTCTTTATTCAGTTCCTTTAATTAAAATTCAAAAATATTCAAGGTGCTCACTATATTATATGAGTGCATATAGACTAAAATTGTCTGTAAAGCAGGCTGTTTTTGCTTTTAAAAAATATAAATCTTATAGAAAAATATCAAATAATGTACTAGAAAACCTGAATATTGAATAAAGGTGAGTAAATTAATAATTTATCTTTTAAGATAACATTCTTACATAGTATATATATATGTAAAGAATGGTGCCATAAATAACTAATTACTACAATTATATTTATTATATATATTTTTATATAATCTTTTTTAAAACTTTAATTGTAATAATTTTGTAGTAATGTAATATTTATTATTACATATAGTAATGTAATATTAATTATTACCTATAGTAATAATGAAATATTAATTATTACATGTAATAATATATGGTAATGTAATATTATTTATTATATGTAGTAATATGTATTGTAATGTTTTGGTTAAATGTTCACCCACTTTTTATATTCACTATTATTAGTTATATTTATGAAAGTTCATAAAATATAAGATTTGATGTATTAAAATAAATTTTTTACAATCAAACCGTTAATTCTAATAAAAAATTGTAAAACTTATATTGATCTAATTTCAAGATAGGTATGTGATTATAAAATTTTCTGCACAACTATTTTTTGACTAATCATCTAAAAGTCTTTATTAAAAAGAAATTATAAAAGCCTGATGTCTAACCTATCTTGGAACACTAAAAAATTTTTAAAAAGATGGATTCTCAATCCTTAACAATTTGATTAATTTGACTAGTATAAACCCTTGAACCAGTCTAGTAAATTGGTTAAATTGGTTAGTATACCAACCTAATAATTTCAGCAGTGAGATTCGTAAAAGTTCTAATCCTAAATAGACAATAATTCTAGTGATGAGATTTTCCTTTAGCAGCATTCATATAGAATATAATATATAAAATAAAGCATCTTTATAAAATCTATAATATAAAATTTTAGATGTTCAATCCGTCTCGCATCACGTGATCTACATGATCGACACTTAAATTCACCCC